CCCTGCTTCGGCAGGAGGGTTGGACTAGATGACCCACAGAGGTCCCTTCCAACCCCTACTATTCTGTGATTCTGTGATTCTGCGATTCCCTTCTTTGCCCCACACTGCTAAGACATGTTATGGCAAGAGTTTTTTAGATGCCTGCGGCTGGTGGGCAGTGGGGCTGACAGCAGCAGGAGCAGTAAGTGATAAGTAAACCACACTGCTTAGCTTCAGTCCCGGTACCTAGACAAACCGAAAGTTTTAGTGAAAAAATAGAAATCTACGGGATGTGCGCTAATGCACGCGATGTCTCTGGAGAGGTGGAATGTAAAACTCAACCTGAAAGATGCATGTCAGCCCTCGGGACAAGGGTACCCCGTGGCCACGGTACCTTGGCATAGTGCTCCTGCTTGCTGTAGATGGCTGACAGAAGGCGGTAGCACTCCAGACATTCCACATCCTCGCTGAGTATATGGTTCGTCATCTTCTCAGCTTCCTTCGTCCGCCCCATCATTGCTAAAACCTGAGCCTACGGAGCCACATGATAAAGGGTTACGATCTTCAAAATCTCAGATCTCCTTCAGAAACGATCCTGCGCCCAGCACCTGGTGCTCCACGTTTGTGGCCCTGCCCTGGCCGCGCTCGCCCCACACTCACCAGCGCCAGTCGGACCTCTTTGTTGGAAGGCTGCAGCGACGCCGCTTCCCTGTAAACCTGCAAGGCTTCTTCATACCGCCCTGTGTTGTAATACAGAGCCCCCAGCGGGGACAGGACTTCAGCCTTCCGGGAGACCTTCAGGGCCCTGGAGTTGGGGAACAAGAGATGCTTCCAGGTGGTGTGGGGATCAAAGCCGAAGAGCGACACGTGGCTGGCGCTGGGATGGAGCAGAGAAGCTTCACATGGCACGCTCAACCCATCCCAGGGAGCACAAATTTAAGGTCCCAGGGAGGTAGGAGAGTGCCCACCGCAGCAACCCCTCTGGCCGCCTGCAGCAGGGGTGGGGATGGCTGACGGTGGCAGAACCTGGGGAGTGGGAGCACAAATTTGGATGCCAAAAAGGCACCAACCCCCCCCCCCCAACCCCCCCAAGAAGTAGCAGTAGCCATGATCCAGGCCTACGTATTCGTCCTATTACTAAGCCTCTACTTACAAGAAAATATTTAATGGCCCACCAAGCACATTCCTACACTGGTGTAGCACCCAGAGACCAGCTTCAAGCAGGGTGGGAGTCATGCTAACAAGCTGCTCATGCCACCAAGAAACCTTCAAATTTATCGTTAGAGTAACTCCCCAGCCAAAAGCAGCAGCGTGTCCATCCTGGGGGCTTGGGAACAGTCCAGGGAAGCCAACACCACCCGAGTCCATCCTGCCTCTCCAAGCACTCCCCAGAAATAGCCAAATAAGCACAGGTAGATGTGGTTTCAAAAGGATGGAGAAGGAAGGGAGGAAAACCCAAATAGGCACCGACAGACTCACATATCAGAAGCTCTTTAGCAGAGACAAGCCGTACAGGAGAAGGAAGGAAACCTCTGTCTCCTGTCCCAAATTCTTACCGCTTGTACCACGCTTCGGCCTCTTTGTTCTGCCCCAGGGAGCGGTGAAGCCTGCCCAGGTTCACCATGGCCACGTGGTGAGCGGGGCTCAGGTGGATGGCCTGCCTGTAGTGGGACACAGCTCGCTCGGGAGCCCCTGGAGAGCAGAACAACTGTTAAACGGGAGCCTCAGAAAAATCCTTTTGCAAATTCAGCACAGAATCACAGAATGTTTGGGGTTGGAAGGGACCTCTGTGGGTCATCCAGTCCAACCCCCCTGCCGAAGCAGGGTCACCCAGAGCAGGCTGCACAGGACCTTGTCCAGGCGGGGCTGGAATATCTCCAGAGAAGGAGACTCCACAACCTCCCTGGGCAGCCTGTGCCAGGGCTCCATCACCCTCAGAGGGAAGAAGTTCTTCCTCATGTTCAGCTGGAACTTCCTCTGTTTCAATTTGTAAGAGCAGCAATGCTCTGCGTTTTCTTTCATCTGCTGCTCTATGCGCGGCAACCATTCTGAGAACGAGATCCCACCTCAGCCTTTTGAGATGAAAATTGCTGTCCAGACTAAGATTTAAGACCCACTATCCAGACACGATCCTGAGAAACAGATTTTCTAGAGGTGGGATTTTGCAAGTGGAGGGTACAGTCACCAGAAGACTCCTCCGATCATGCTGGGGGGGGGCACAACCCTTGTGCTAAGGACAGAGCCCACCCCAGAGAGGGGCTGGGGCACAGGTCCCACACCCTGGCTCACTGGAGAGATGGGCAACGGAGACATGGAGAACAAGCCACTTGGTATTCCCCACAACCCCACCAGCGCTGCCAACGGTTTCCACTCCTTCCCAGCGGTCACTATTCCCTCCACCCCCGCGGCGCTGGCCCTGCGGGACTGGGAGCTGCCCACCCTCGGGGCAATCAATCCCGGACCGGAGGTTGTCCAGGTGCCGGTTCTGGAGGGCGCAGGCAGGGCCTGACGTCACCCAGCGCCGCTGCAAAACACGGCACCGTGCGAAAAGAAAGGTGCCAGGCCACCAGCCCAAATTGTGTGGGTTTCTTTACCTAAACCATGGCTTTCCTCAAGAGGGATCTGGCAGTGCTTTCTGCTAAATAAACTAACGGGGCACAGGTTCCGGCACTTCAGCAATGCAAATATCATATTTTTAACCCCGGAGCTCGTTTAATTGGTTTGCACGCTCTAGACCAGACAATCTCCTGATGAAAAGCAACGCTCACGGAGCTTTCTCCACCAACAAAGCTTCTGAGCATCGGCATTTTTTAAGCCAAATCACTTCACAGTGTATTTAATTCCATTTCTAGCTGGAAAGCAGAACTTGAAAACAGCCTGCGCGTGTTGGGGCACTGAACATATGCTGCTGTGGAAATTTTAGCTTCAGAGCTTTTCAGATCTAGTTGGTTTTCCTGAGACTGTCTGTGCGATAGAGAAGTAGCACTGACACTTCTCGGCATCTCCTTTACAGGAGGGATGTCTGCAGGGAGTTTTTGAAGCACTTCAGTTTCATCCACGGCCAACAACAGATCTTTCAGAGGAGGACTTTTCCAAAACACCCAGCAGCAGCCTTGATCTCCTCCCACCGCTGAGCAGGCAGATGTTTTGGAAAATCACATCCTGAGAAGCCGCTGGGCACGCGCCTCGGTCCCTAAGCCAGGCAGTGCCTCCGCTGCTCAGCACACAGGGTACCGCGCATCGTTAAGCGAGACGCACGGAGCGTCTACGACCACTGCAGAGCTGCCTGGAGCTACGGCTCCCCAGAGCTGACCTTTGCTGGAGGCTCGT